CAAAATAATCATCAGTTTCCATAGAATAACTTTTAATATGTTTTGTGTATCTTCATGAAATTTCACAGGCTTTTAGTAAACATTAGAAGTCTTTTGTATTTGAAAAATCAGATTTTTTATAAGTATTTTTACTAAAGATTTGTCCATGAATATATGGAATCAGTGTGTTGAGTGCTCCAAATGCAAAGTGATTTTCATGTCAAGGTTAAATACTTTACTTCATCTGAAAATTTTCAAATTTCAAATGTATAACTCTAAAAACCCCTAATTTATATTCAATTTTATTGTTCTATTGCTTTTTGAACCTTGTCTAACTAATAATCTCACCATACAAGTTGTAAATCATTTAGCCAACACGTAGCTCATATTACTGTATTGAATGACATAACACATGAGCTGCTTGTGAGCATACCCCATGAAGAATTAATATTGTTTTTCGTTATCTTATCTAATCTAACCTAATAAATTTCTCATTTTAGATTTTATTTACTTTTATAACCATAAATAAAGAAAATACATGAAAAACAAGAAATATAGTACTTACCTTTGACCTCGTTTTTCTGTTGTTGGTTACCGATAAAATTTTATTTGTTTGGTTATTTGAGAGCAAAGCCACATCAAACCCCGAATTTTAGCATTGTAAATCCATAGACTTACCGCTGTCCCATCAGAGGACCCAATGAAATTCAAGCCTACTTTTTTATAATGATGGTACTAGTACACTAAATAATTTTTATTTACTTAAATAATGCACATAAGAAACAATAATAACATGCACAAAGCAAACAATGTCTTATAATTATTATAATTTAACTGGCTTTTTAACTAAGACAAAAGAGGCTTAAATTAACTCCCTTTGCTGCTCAATCTGAACATTGCAAGATAAACTTTGAAATTAAAGAAGAAATTGAAAATACTCTATCCAGAAAAAACAAAACAAAAAAAGCATTATGCATCATTTCAAAGGTTAAAATTTTACCTTTCTGTTAGTTATAAATGATTATTATAAAACATCAGAAAAAATTATTGGCAATTTGTGAAAGAGAAGATGTGATAGGTGGGCAGGGCAAATGGGTCTGATTTTCTAATTTATGACTCCATAAACAAATAAGATTAGACTACAAACATTACGCTTTGCCTTAGTGATATCTGTATTCTAATAAGTAATTTACATCAAATTCAATACTTCAGAGAGGGGTGGAAAATAAATTTAAAAAAGAGAGAAGACCAAGAGAACAAATGTTACAATTCTCATACTATGGGAGATTGAGGTTTCAAATATTTCCTTATAAAAGTAAGAACTTAAAACTTAGATAATATTAAAACTTGATTTATTAACTACATTTAATGCCAATTTTATTTGTCTACATTGATAATAAAGTAGTTTAATTAAATTTTGAATGTAATTCTGTAAATGGTCAGGACATACACACTTTGAACTACCTTATAGCATGAAGGTTAAATTGAATAGAATATCACTGATGTAAATAACATTAAAACTGAACCTAATTCCAATGTAACAAAAATAGGTGAAACCATACTGATAAAAAACATGAAACCAACATTTAAACAAGTATCTAGGAACTCCACTGTATCTTCATTAACCCAATGTGCATGGACTTGGTTCATATTACCAACCCTATGTTGGAGAACGTATACTGACTATAATTCCAAATTTACTACATATATCTACAAGAAGTGTGGCAAGCTTTTAGTAAAATGTACAAGTCTGTTGAACACGAAAATCATATATGTTATAAAGGTATTTGTTTTAAAGATCTGTCTGTGAAATGATGTTCATATAAAGAATAGACACTTTGTCCATCAGATGGTTTGATTATTGTATATGCTCAACTTCTAGAACCTCCAAAATGCATATCTACAGTTTTTTCAGTATCCCTGTGTAATGTATCAAGTATGTACTATACTCTCTCACAAACTATTGCTAAAGCAGCAATGTAGGGTAAAACGAATAGTTGATAACTCTGACATCAGATACATAATTCCATGTTGAATGGCACTCTGTAAAAAAAATCATGGCGTGCACACTTTGACCCCCACCTACATGCATAGGGTTAAATTTATTTAAATATTTCTACCCTTTATTGTCAAATGCATACCTTTATTTTAACTACTACCTATAAATTATGTTCTTACTTTACACATGTGTACGTATTGTTTGTAATTTTTACTTGCATAGTTTTGTAACAGTAACCTGAAGATGATTCAATACTATGGATCAAACCATTAGTTTTGTTAGTAAAACATATTTTCCCTACTAAAAAAAAGAGGCTACATTCAATTACACACTAGTACCTAAAATCAACATTAAACTAGACACCAACTACTGAAAAACAACAATTACACACATTCACACTTCATCCTCACTTATAAAACTATCAGACCTCCAGAATACTGTTAACTGCTCCAACTAAGTCTGTGTGTGTCTCCTCATGCACATACTCCCTCTGTATGCATTTGCATGTGTACTGATCTGGTAGTTCTGAATTTCGTACTTTGTACAAGTTTTTACAGTATCATTCCTCACATACCCAAGGCTAATTCTAATAATAATCCCATCAGTATTGAGCTAAGCTTTTAACTAAAATCAAGTTTTGGTAACACGGGTAAATATATAATAAAAACACTGGGAATTTGTTTAGCAATAAAAGTGATTTATGCATTTCTTTCATTCTGGTACATAACTCTTTGTTATAACATAATGTTTTTAGTAGGAAAAAATCATATCAACTTATTTCTGCACATCTAAACAAACTATTGTACATTCAAAAAGTTCTGCTTAAAATAGATCTTCTTTGTAAGTTAGGCTGAATGCTAAATGATATTAGATAATACAACAGAACTACAAACCTCTAGCCTGTTAACAATAGTAGCCATGGTGGACAGGACTTCAGGTTCCCTAGCTGATGGGACACTGCACCGCTGATAATCCAGTAACACGGCATCCAAAAGAGGAGGTATAAAATTTTCCAGTACCTTAAGCAGAACATAATGAATATACCAGTAAGAATAAACTATCAACATTTACAATGTAAGTTCAACTTAAAAGTATTTATGTTTGCCAATTTTTATCTAACTTGAAATAACTGAATTACTTTCTTAACCCTTATGGCTCCATAACTTTTAGTTACAGGAACTTTAATAACATAAGTCACAAAAATTTAAATAAAAATAACATCAATTTGATATTGCAGTTAATCCCACTACTTACCAAGGTTCATAATTTCACCTTTTTTTTTTGAGGGGCAATTTTTATCCCGAGTTTTGTAAGGGGCAAATACAAAAAATTACTCAATATGTAGACCTCACAAGTAGTGAATGTATACAAAAACAAATGGCACTTTGAAAGTCAAGAAAACTCAGCAACTTAAGAAATAAGAGATTTCTGAAAATGAAAATAATACAAAGTCCTTCATATTTTTAAAGCATTTACACTGCAATTAAAGATATGGAATTTTGTATTTTATTAGTATTTCACTAAATAAGACTAATATCTATAAATTAAAGTTTTTTTTCAAGCCAATAAACATGTTTACAAAACATCCTGAAGCTTGTAATCCTGAATATCAACTGAAACACGAGATTCTCTTTTATCTCTAGGAAGAAGACTGAAAAAAAGCTTTACACTTAAAACAGGATACTTCTATTAAAAGCCATTTACGTTCAAACCTGACAAGTAAAGGGTTGATGAAAGCAAACAAACTGTTTGAAAATTTGTATGAATTTGGTTTTCGTGGGCCTGTGTTATTATCCCAATGATAAATGAATTATTGTAGTTTATGTCTACTGTATTAATGTTTCAATAAGTAAGAAAATAAAAATTCCAATGGCCTCAAACACTGTCACTAATTATTCATCACAAGACTCTTTATGATCCTATTTTATAATTGTTGATGTTTTAAGCTGATGTTCACAATTTTTTTTTATCACAGGTAGAAAATTTCAGTGTGAATATTTTGAATATTCTAAATGACCAGAAATAGAATCTTAGGTTTTTAATTTTTAAACATTTTTCAGTAAGGTAGGGGGTCCTCCTAGATTCCCTGCTTTAATAGTACTTTTGATTCTAACATCAGTATAGTACAGGAACCTAAGAAGAAATGAAAAAATGGGCAATCCTGTTAGCAGGCATATTATTGTTTTCATGGTACTAAAGAACATCTCAAAGGAAAAAGCTCTAATAAGGAAGTTAGAGATAAACACAACTTACCATGTGTGAGTCTGTTGACCGACTAACCCACCCAGATATAAGCTTTAATGCTTCTTTCTTTACAGTTCGCATACTTCTGATGAGAGGCTGTTTAGTGACAACTTCTCCATTCAGAGAAATCGCTGCAGTGATGTTTTCACTCATCACTTTATAAACATTCAACATGTCTAAGTATATTCTTCCCAACTGTAAATATCACAGTAATTAATATTGACTCTAATGTAAGAAACAAATTACAATTTTACATGCTAAACATTATCCTTATATAGCAATATGCTTAAAAATATCAGACTATAATACCTCTACAATAGTAACACATACAATGAAATATTTTTCTCTCAAAAGAGTAAAATGGTTGCAAAATACTTAAATGGCTAAATGAATAAAACAATATAGTTTTCTTAAACATGTCAAATTAAAAAAATTGGAATTCTTTATTTTTACATGAAATGACACTATGTAATGTTTAAACTCTTGTTTCTGATAGAGCTTGTTAAAGTAAAAACAAAAAACTCAGAGTTAAAAATGCTTTTAAAGTGTTCAAAATTTCTATAGAAAGTCTGTGCTGAGTGAACAAGTCCTTACCTGACTGACATAGGGATGACCAATTGATTTACATGCTCGAACATTGGTTTTTAAAATATTACCAAGTTGCTTAACAGCCTCAGGATCTTTCAGTACATCAACATTCTAATAAAAAAAATAAACACAAATAAAATCATATTTTTAAAAACTGTATTATTTTCAGGTATTCTTGTTTGCAGTCATGTCTAATGCACTACTATCTTCAACATTTTAAAATTACACCATTTTCACCAGCTAGTAAAAAGATGTATTCAACAGCACTATCATACTGACTGAAACAGAGGACACAAAGATTTCAGAAAAGGTTTCAATATAACATGTAGCTGACAAGCAAAAACATGTAATTTATGCAATCTCATATTACATATACCTATTCTGCTACTTTCAAATGCAAATTCTCAAAACAGCTAATATGGATTCTTATTTTTCTCCTCCATATGAATTTTACTAGTAAACTCAAAAGGCAGACAAAAAGTTAATTTGATCTTTGAATCAAAACTGTCCACATATATGCCAGATGTTATAGTTTAACTTTTAAATAACTGGTCACACTGTTTTATAAAGCTACCCATAGATGTTTCTCTTACATTTGACAAAATTGGCTGGATCTTCATTATTTTGGCATTACTCTACAAATTTTCATGATATAAAAATTCTTCCCCTTTAAGTGCTTTTTTCTAAAATGCAAATGTAAATAGAAAAAAAATCATTACATATAAGTTACTAATCATTATTTATTTTAAACATTATTTAACAAACAGAAATACATTCTTCTACACATTTGATCTAAAATGAAAACATATAACATTTTTACACTCTTATAATCAGGCATTAGTTACAAATTTTTAGTATTTTTCAAGGGTATCAAAAATTAATGTGCAAACCTTTGTTGCTTGGTTGATTATGTCATCCCAGACTTGACTTGGAAGAAACATGTACTTTTCTATGAGATGTTCTTGAACCACCTGATCTGTTTGTGCGCTAATCATTGACCCCACAGCTTCATAGAAGGTGTGGACCTGATTCAGAAGGTACAAATATTCAAGGTTCAACTTTTATGTTCTTAGTAAATATATCCAAGAACAATAGTTTTTCACAATTTGGTTATAGCAGTTGATCTTTGAAACTTTTCTAAAACTAGCAAAAAAAACTGCCTTTAAGTTATAAAACTTCTCCATTTTGTGTTATTGTAACTTATTCATACAACTGGTATATCAAGTCCAGATATTTATCACTGTCCAGTGCTTCCTACTTCAATAGGTCTTCTCTTCACTGCTATAATTAGTACCTATTCTCAGCATCACTTTAAATTCACAGCTGTAAGGTTATTCTAAATAACTATATAAGTATGTATGAGAGACAGTATGTGCAGTCATATAACTGAACAGTACAATAATCTGGAAAAACACTTGTCAGTGATTTGTTCCAAGCAAATGAAGTTATTATGCTATAACACATCTTTTTCCCATACAAACAACATATGATTTTACAATAATGCAATTAAAGAAATAATTTCACTTGGTCAAAACTCTCAGTTACTTATCACTTAAACTACTTTTGTTGCAATATCTTTTTTTGACATTTTGTTGGTCCATTTTTATTTATCTGATTTTTCTTTTTACCTGCTTCTTTTAATAGTTAAGCAATAATTATCCACAGGGTAAACAAACAAAAAAAGCCTTACTTGCTGAGGTTGAAGATCACAGATGATGCTGTTAATGTTGTTTAAAATCTCTTCAATGAATGGCATTACCTCTCCAACTTGAACCTTAAAAATTATATGCAGAAAAGTTATTGTAGTACAATACCAAAAATATTAAATACTTAATTTCATGAGCAAATCTTATAATAAATCAATAACATTTATATCAAGGGTATTTTAAACTTACTTGCACAAAATGGCGTTTGCATTTCTGGGCTATTTTAATAAACGTGTCACATGCCATATCTTGTACTCCATCATGGGTTTCTGAAAATACATCAAATGTTTTGAACCTCAATGTATCAGACCAGAGATATAAAATAGCAAGTAATTCTCTGTTTTCATTGTAACTATTCAGCTACTCTATAATAACTAGCTTTCATTTGAAATAAATAATTAAGAATCACCTCCTTATATCTTGAAAAAGACATATAAGGTCAAAAGTTATATAATTAACCTTCTACAAATATAGCTGTTTTTAATATGTACACCTACACTAATGAAACAGTCTATACTAACCCTACTTGTAATGGAACAGTTGAAATGCTTTTTTTAGATTTTATATATAAACCCATATAATATTGACTGATCAGCATAAAATGAAAGCACTGATAATAAAATTCTAAATCCCTAAATTAAAATGCTACTCTACACTGTTTTAAGCATAAATTTACATCTTTGGTCAGCTTATCATACATTCTGAACTTTCAACTTTGCCTTCTTTTTTTTCCACATAATTTTGAAAACAATATTAATACCCTTAGTTACATAGAATAAAATAAAGTTTACATCCATTACTGTCAGAACAAGAAGTTTATATGGAAACAAGTTTTGACATTTTCCCGTGTCCTCTTCAGTCCAATTTTTCTTTATGAGAGAAACAATTTATTTTATAAAAGTCACTCCCAGTCTCTTGAGGGCTTATGACGTCAGTAAAGGGTTCAGTTTAAAAATACTTTCTGAAATACTGAAGTTTGGCAATTATTGAACTAACAAACTTTCTACAATTCTTCTTTTGACATAAATTCTAGTTTTATATAACATCATGGCTGATTTCCAGTTAATTGTATGATCAAGATTTCTCATATGAAGAAAAATAGCATTATTTGTTTGACCATTTTTAACATTCCTTCTATGTTCTGCGAGTCTTGAACCTAAATTTCTACCCATTTCACCCAAATAAATTTTATCATAAGACTGACAGGAGACTATATAGACTCTTTGTTCTTTATTTTGAGGTGCAGAGATGTTTGAGGGTAGGAAGTTCTTAATGGTGTTGGGATTGGGATATTTATATACAACTTTGAAGTTGTTGTT